GCTCCGAAACCTGTTTCCTGGGATTATTTCTTTTCATAGCTTCATCTTGCCTCCTGGAGCACAGATTAGTAATAAATGCTCTTTATCTCTGCTAGAAGTGTGCTTTCTCTCTCTGTATTTCGTCTTCCCTTCTTTTTAGTGTTTTGCTAAAGCTTAAGATGCAAGTAATTAGTAGTAGCAAAAAAGGCTGTTGTGACTCTGAACTCATAATTAACCGTGGTTAAAGGGAGTTGGTCTGTCACCGTAATGGTGTTTACCTGGAAAAAACCCACATGCTTAATTTAGTGAAGCAGAACTACACCTGATGTGCTTGAACTGGTGGAAGGAAAGAGAAAGTAACATGACAGTGGCGCTTGGTGCATCAGTGGAATTAGCTTTGTCTTTTTCTACCGGAGCAGGCACTGAGGTTCTGTAAAGAGTAGTTTCACCCAGGTTTAGTAGGAAATTGTTAATTCATTTGAATGTGAGAAGGGTACTTTAGTGCTTAAAGTATACAATGAGAACATAGAGGTTACAAGTCAGGAAAGCAGAAATGGAAATTACTATCAGGATTGAGTGCAATCCCTGAAATTTCAGGCAATTATGTAGCAATACTTAGTCTGAAAGATTATTTGTTTTTTCAACTACCCTCTGTCCATCACAAAACAGAGGCCAATAGTGTGAGCCTTGCAACAAGCTGAATAACTTCTCTGTAAAACTTTGAAGCTATAATATGGCAGAAAATAAGCAGGAGGTGAAGAGCTTTACCAGCCTTTCAGGAGAGCTGAGCATCAAGGGAAAGCTGTAGTCAGAAAAATGCACTTTCTCAATCATGCTTTTCCTAACAGTGTATCCAATGGTAGGAGAGCTGCCCTTGTACTGTGTTTGTCCCTAGTGGAGGAAGGCTGAAGAAAGGAAAGCATGGAACAGAAGTAAATACAAATGATTATTTTTTGTCTCGCATCTCTGAAGCTTTTTTCCATGTCCAGTCTGGGTTCATTTTGCAGTTTTAGGTCATGTATTCCCTCAGTCATATAATTTAATGCATTTAATCTGTGGGAAGCATTGTTGGTGTCAGAGCAATAAATCATAGAATCATAGAATGATTAGGGCTGGAAGGGACCTTCAAAGGTCATCTAGTCCAACCCCCCTGCAAGGAACAGGGATATCTCCAACTAGATCAGGTTGCTCAGGGCCTCGTCCAACCTGGCCTTGAACGTCTCCAGGGATGGAGCATCCATCACCTCTCTGGGCAACCTGTTCCAGTGTTCTACAACTCTCATGGTAAAAATTTTTTTCCTAATATCCAACCTGAATCTACCTCCCTCTATTTTAAAACCATTACCCCTTGTCCTATCACAACTGGCCCTCCTGAACAGCCTCTCCCCATCTTTCTTGTAGGCCCCCTTGAGGTACTGGAAGACCGCTGTAAGGTCACCCGGGGGCCTCCTCTTCTCCAGGCTGAA